TTTATGGCATGGCATTGTCCTAATTTAAAATAATGGCTTCACCCTCCCTAATATCAAATGATAGATGCAGCGCGCCATGCAAAACCATGATTCAAAATACTTGTTTTTGAGCTAAATGAACAAGCCGAGGCAGCTGTCAGTTTCCTGTCCATTCTCTTCATGGTCATATGAATCACTAATATGCCCAACAGAATGAGAATGGGCTGTGTCCATTATGGAAAATAACCTCATCCCTTTATCTGACGCATTTCGAAAGGCCGATATTGTCCATAAATTTGAACATAAAGTCATAAATGCCAGAAAAAGGGGAACAGACAGACAAATTCCTTCTGTGTGCTGTGAATCCTAATGATCCTTCAAACGGCCTGGGTTATACAGTGTATGTGGAGGGAAGCAGAGGAATTCACTCCAGTTATTGGTCAGGCAGATACTTAATGGCTGCATCACAAATGGCACCCTATTCCTGCCCCCATGTGCCCTGGTCAAAAGTAGTACACTATAAAGGGAATAGGGTGCCATTTAGGATGCACCCAATATGTTTCACCTCGGTATGTGGGTGAGCCTGACAAGCAGCAAGCTATAGGGTACAAGCAAGGTGAAAGATGATATTACCACTCGATAGCCTTGGCTTGTCAGGTGGGTGGTTAGAATGCGTAAGTACATGCTAAGAAGATGTGTTATTTGATGAGGGCATAATGTAGTGTCTAACCACATATGAAATCAGTAAGTGCATTGTTACTCTGCCTGCCTCTTTGTGTCAAATGAAAGCACATTTTCTGAAGTAGGGAAGTAACCATAAGGGCATAACATCTCTGATTGCCTTGTACCAGATATGTAAGTACAGGCAGTTACAGTGGGGAGAACAAGTATTTGATACACTGCCGATTTTGCAGGTTTTCCTACTTACAAAGCATGTAGAGGTCTGTAATTTTTATCATAGGTACACTTCAACTGTGAGAGATGGAATCAAAAAAAAAATCCAGAAAATCACATTGTATGATTTTTAAGTAATTAATTTGCATTTTATTGCATGACATAAGTATTTGATACATCAGAAAAGCAGAACTTAATATTTGGTACAGAAACCTTTATTTGCAATTACAGAGATCATACGTTTCCTGTAGGTCTTGACCAGGTTTGCACACACTGCAGCAGGGATTTTGGCCCACTCCTCCATACAGATCTTCTCCAGATCCTTCAGGTTTCGGGGCTGTCGCTGGGCAATACGGACTTTCAGCTCCCTCCAAAGATTTTCTATTGGGTTCAGGTCTGGAGACTGGCTAGGCCACTCCAGGACCTTGAGATGCTTCTTACGGAACCACTCCTTAGTTGCCCTGGCTGTGTGTTTCGGGTCGTTATCATGCTGGAAGACCCAGCCACGACCCATCTTCAATGCTCTTACTGAGGTTGTTGGCCAAGATCTCGCGATACATGGCCCCATCCATCCTCCCCTCAATACGGTGCAGTCGTCCTGTCCCCTTTGCAGAAAAGCATCCCCAAAGAATGATGTTTCCACCATCATGCTTCACGGTTGGGATGGTGTTCTTGGGGTTGTACTCATCCTTCTTCTTCCTCCAAACACGGCGAGTGGAGTTTAGACCAAAAAGCTATATTTTTGTTTCATCAGACCACATGACCTTCTCCCATTCCTCCTCTGGATCATCCAGATGGTCATTGGCAAACTTCAGACGGGCCTGGACATGCGCTGGCTTGAGCAGGGGGACCTTGCGTGCGCTGCAGGATTTTAATCCATGACGGTGTAGTGTGTTACTAATGGTTTTCTTTGAGACTGTGGTCCCAGCTCTCTTCAGGTCATTAACCAGGTCATGCCGTGTAGTTCTGGGCTGATCCCTCACCTTCCTCATGATCATTGATGCCCCACGAGGTGAGATCATGCATGGAGCCCCAGACCGAGGGTGATTGACCGTCATCTTGAACTTCTTCGATTTTCTAATAATTGCGCCAACAGTTGTTGCCTTCTCACCAAGCTGCTTGCCTATTGTCCTGTAGCCCATCCCAGCCTTGTGCAGGTCTACAATTTTATCCCTGATGTCCTTACACAGCTCTCTGGTCTTGGCCATTGTGGAGAGGTTGGAGTCTGTTTGATTGAGTGTGTGGACAGGTGTCTTTTATACAGGTAACGAGTTCAAACAGGTGCCGTTAATAAAGGTAATGAGTGGAGAACAGGATGGCTTCTTAAAGAAAAACTAACAGGTCTGTGAGAGCAGGAATTCTTACTGGTTGGTAGGTGATCAAATACTTATGTCATGCAATAAAATGCAAATGAATTACTTAAAAAATCATACAATGTGATTTTCTGGATTTTTGTTTTAGATTCTGTCTCTCACAGTTGTAGTGTACCAATGATACAAATTACAGACCTCTACATGTTTTGTAAGTAGGAAAACCTGCAAAATCGGCAGTGTATCAAATACTTGTTCTCCCCACTGTATATACAAAAAATAAATAAAGGGAACACTTAAACAACACAATGTAACTCCAAGTCAATCACACTTCTGTGAAATCAAACTGTCCACTTAGGAAGCAACACTGATTGACAATACATTTCACATGCTGTTGTGCAAATGGAATAGACAACAGGTGGAAATTATAGGCAATTAGCAAGACACCCCCAATAAAGGACTGGTTTTGCAGGTGGTGACCACAGACCACTTCTCAGTTCCTATGCTTCCTGGCTGATGTTTTGGTCACTTTTGAATGCTGGCGGTGCTTTCACTCTAGTGGTAGCATGAGACGGAGTCTACAACCCACACAAGTGGCTCAGGTAGTGCAGCTCATCCAGGATGGCTCATCAATGCGAGCTGTGGCAAGAAGGTTTGCTGTGTCTGTCAGCGTAGTGTCCAGAGCATGGACGCGCTACCAGGAGACAGGCCAGTACATCAGGAGACGTGGAGGAGGCAGTAGGAGGGCAACAACCCAGCAGCAGGACTGCTACCTCCGCCTTTGTGCAAGGAGGAGCAGGAGGAGCACTGCCAGAGCCCTGCAAAATGGCCTCCAGTAGGCCACATATGTGCATGTGTCTGCTCAAACGGTCAGAGACAGACTCCATGAGGGTGGTATGAGGGCCTGACGTCCACAGGTGGGGGTTGTGCTTACAGCCCAACACCGTGCAGGACGTTTGGCATTTGCCAGAGAACACCAAGATTGGCAAATTCGCCACTGGCGCCCTGTGCTCTTCACAGATGAAAGCAGGTTCACACTGAGCACATGTGACAGACGTGACAGAGTCTGGAGACGCCGTGGAGAACGTTCTGCTGCCTGCAACATCCTCCAGCATGACCGGTTTGGCGGTGGGTCAGTCATGGTGTGGGGTGGCATTTCTTTGGGGGGCCGCACAGCCCTCCATGGCTCGCCAGAGGTAGCCTGACTGCCATTAGGTACCGAGATGAGATCCTCAGACCCCTTGTGAGACCATATGCTGGTGCGGTTGGCCCTGGGTTCCTCCTAATGCAAGACAATGCTAGACCTCATGTGGCTGGAGTGTGTCAGCAGTTCCTGCAAGAGGAAGGCATTGATGCTATGGACTGGCCCGCCCGTTCCCCAGACCTGAATCCAATTGAGCACATCTGGGACATCATGTCTCGCTCCATCCACCAACACCACGTTGCACCACAGACTTTCCAGGAATTGGCGGATGCTTTAGTCCAGGTCTGGGAGGAGATCCCACAGGAGACCATCCACTACCTCATCAGGAGCATGCCCAGGCGTTGTAGGGAGGTCATACAGGCACGTGGAGGCCACACACACTACTGAGCCTCATTTTGACTTGTTTTAAGGACATTACATCAAAGTTGGATCAGCCTGTAGTGTGGTTTTCCACTTTAATTGTGAGGGTGACTCCAAATCCAGACCTCCATGGGTTGATCAATTTGATTTCTATTGATAATTTTTGTGTGATTTTGTTGTCAGCACATTCAACTATGTAAAGAAAAAAGTATTTAATAATATTATTTCATTCATTCAGATCTAGGATGTGTTATTTTAGTGTTCCCTTTATCTTTTGAGCAGTGTACTTACCACTGCTTATTCTGTTTTCCCAAAAAAAGGGAAGTTGCATTTGTAAGAGTACCAAAGTGCACCATAACTGCATGTGATCACATGCTGACAACAGAGTAATTTGGTAAGGTTTTTACACTAGTAGTTGCTCTAGTGTAATGCCCATGTCAATTAATAATTATGCAGGATATCTATTGAGATAGAAAGCAATCAAATAATTGACTGCTACCATTAATAAACAAAGCATTTAACACTGAACACACTAAGGGATCCATCGATCCAAATACTTATTGCTACATCACATGCATTTCAGACTGATAGTATGAATAGAGGTGACACCGTGAGCCTGATGGGTAAAACAATTGAGCTGTTGAATGTGCTAAACTAACACTGTAATGCCAAAGCTAATGTTATCAAACTAATTTGGTGTTGGTTCTGGGAGCCCGAGGTAGCTCACTCAGGATCATTGAGCACTGTAATGACCTAATGACCTGAGCCCGTCAGTGCACTACAAATTTACTCACTTGCCTCTTGCCAAAAGTAGCACATGGGATAATAGAAGCTCCAGCCCCATAACAATTGCAGGTCTCACCCAGTTGGGCTTTGTAAAAAAAGTGACTTCATTGCAGGGATTTGATAGGTTACATAATGTCAGCTCAATGGGTAGACAACTTGCCTAGGGCATAAGTAGGAAGTCTCTGCATAGTTTCAATTAGCCAGTAGCCCAATAACATAAATACCAGGAGCTGTCCATGGTAGATTTAGGGATATGGACCATAATTGCACAATAAAAGGTATCATCCATAATTTAAATATCTGAAAAAAATGATAATAATGATGGATATGTGAAATTATTGACTTTCTGTAAAATAAAACACTAATCTTGTTTTCTTGTGATTGTTTCTCAATTTCTTAGATGAATTCAAGGCCTTCATGAAAAAACTACCAACGGACCATTTTTTAACACATCCTTGGTATTCAAGTTTTGGGCAGCAGATGCAGCTCTCCAGAAGCGCTACAGCCAATTGGAGAGCAGCACCAATTTGGTTCTTGGGAAAGCCCAGAAGATTGTGAGGAAACTCTTCTCTCTGAGCAAGCGCTGTCCCAAACTGCCAAGGATCAACCTCCCAAGAGAAAGGTACGATAATGGGAACATCACATGCTTTCAAATCATTCCACAAATAGATTGTAATATCTGCCACATCAGAGATGTATGGAGAATAAGAGCACCTCCTCCCAGCTGCCCACTGCACTGAGGCTAGGAAACACTGTCACTACCGATAAATCTACGATAATCAAAAATTTCAACAAGCATTTTGCTATGGCTGGCCATGCTTTCCACCTGGCTACCCCTACCCCGGCCACCAGCTCTGCACCCTCCGCTGCAACTTGCCCATGCCCCCCCCCCCACTTCTCCTTCACCCAAATTCAGATAGCTGATGTTCTGAAAGAGCTGCAAAATCTGGACACCTACAAATCAGCTAGGCTAGACAATCTGGACCCTTTCTTTCTAAAATTAGCCGCCGGAATTGTCGCAACCCCTATTACCAGCCTGTTCAACCTCTCTTTCGTATCGTCTGAGATCCCCAGAGATTGGAAAGCTGCCGCGGTCATCCCCCTCTTCAAAGGGGATGACACTTTAGATCCAAACTGTTACAGACCTATATCCATCCTGCCCTGCCTTTCGAAAGTATTTGAAAGCCAAGTTAACAAACAGATCACCGACCATTTCGAATCCCACCGTACCTTCTCCGCTATGCAATCTGGTTTCTGAGCTGGTCATGGGTGCACCTCAGCCACGCTCAAGGTCCTAAACGATATTATAATCGCGATCAATAAAAGACAGTACTGTGCAGCCGTCTTCATCGACCTGGCCAAGGCTTTCGACTCCGTCAATCACAGCATTCTTATTGGCAGACTAAATAGCCTTGGTTTCTCAAATGACTCCCTCGCCTGGTTCAACAACTACTTCTCAGAGTTCAATGTGTCAAATCGGAAGGCCTGTTGTCTGGACCTCTGGCAGTCTCTATGGGGGTGCCACAGGGTTCAATTCTCGGGCCGACTCTATTCTCTGTGTATATCAATGATGTCGCTCTTGCTGCTGGTGACTCTCGGATCCACCTCTATGCGGACGACACCATTTTGTATACATCTGGCCCTTCATTGGACACTGTGTTAACAAACCTCCAAACGAGCTTCAATGCCATACAGCACTCCTTCCGTAGCCACAAACTGCTCTTAAACGCTAGTAAAACTAAATGCATGCTCTTCAATCGAATGCTGCTTGTACCCGCCCACCCGACTCGAATCACTACTCTCGGCGGGTCTGACTTAGAATGTGTGGACAACTACACATACCTAGGTGTCTGGTTAGACCGTAAACTCTCCTTCCAGACTCACATTAAGCATCTCCAATCCAAAGTTAAATCTAGAATTGGCTTCCTATTTCGCAAAAAAACAAAGCCCCCTTCACTCATGCTGCCAAACATGCCCTCGTAAAACTGACTAGCCTACCGATCCTTGACTTCGGCGATGTCATTTACAAAATAGCCTCCAACACTCTACTCAGCAAATTGGATGTAGTCTATCACAGTGCCATCCTCGGTAAGCTGGAGACTCTTATGTCCCTCACTAACTTTAAGCATCAGTTGTCAGAGCAGCTTACCGATCACTGCACCTGTACACAGCCCATCTGCAATTAGCCCACCCAACTACCTCATCCCCATATTGTTATTTATTTTGCTCATTTGCACCCCAGTATCTCTATTTGCAAATCATCTTCTGCACATGTATCATTCCAGTGTTAATACTAAATTGTAATTATTTTTGCACTATGGCCTATTTATTGCCTTACCTTCGTAACTTACTACATTTGCACACACTGTATATAGATTTTCTATTGTGTTATTGACTGTATGTATTGTTTATCCCATATGTAACTCTGTGTTGTTGTTGTTTTTATCGCACTGCTTTGCTTTATCTTGGCCAGGTCGCAGTTTTAAATGAGAACTTGTTTTAAACTGGCTTACCTGGTTAAATAAAGGTGAAATAAAATAAAAAATAAAAATATGTAAATGTCTTTATGTTGGCTTTTGAACATCTTACACCTACTTTATTGGTAAATTACATTAATTAATTATTACATAGAACCACTTCATGGCATTTTATCACCACTTTGTGTCCTCTTTTATATCAAGTAATTTGACCAAGCAAAGTTATTTTATTTGGGTCAGGTCTTCATACTTTTCCCTGTAGTTTAAATAATACACCCCTAATCACATATACATGGCTGAGTTGTCTGTCATTTAGAGGCAATTTGGTATCTAATGCTGTGCGAAAACCAGGGCAAGCGTCTGAAATGAAAGAGAGAGAGAGAGAGAGCTGTTTAGTGTCTCTTCCCTGATTGAAGAGGTCTGTGTGATGTGAGGTCTGCGGTGGCATGTCTGTAATCAAGTGCTCTTAGAGAAGACAGGTTGGTGTGAACCACTTGCCCACTGAACACCCACATTTTTGTGACAAGCGCTACCTCTGCCTGTCATTCACTCATTTAACTCTGTTCAAACAAATAACAACAGTCTATTCAGCTTAGCTGAGCCAGAAGATTTCTTCAACATCATCATCATGTGCTATATAATCCCTCATTTTGATATGCAAGTCTGCAGAAGAGGAAAACGTTTTTGTTTATGTAGTGCAATTCCCAATACAGAACCGGTTGAGGAAAACTAATCTTTGCAGAACCAACTCCAAAATAGTGCTAGTAGAAAGTTACGGCAAAGTACTCAATTGTTAATTTATTTACAATATCTGTGTTTTTTCCCTCAAATGTGGTTGCACCAAAAATGTCTCATCCTACCAATGCTTGTACATAATTCATGAACACAGACTTAAGCTCAAATTCACTTTATAGTGAACATTACGTACAGCACATAAAATCAAATAATATATTAGCTATAACATATTAGTACTTAAAAGAACAATCCTTCATAAGTATGTTATGCAGGTTCTGGAACACGCTATGCATAACTCTGGAAGACACCTATCCTCCAGAGTAAACTGAACAGCTGGAAGAAGGATCTTCCGAGTAGGGTTCTTGGTATTCTTCTGAATCCCTAAGACGGGTGATGAGCCTTTTAAAGCCCACATCAATCATCATTTGGCACTCACTAAATGGGATGATGTTAAGTGAACGTTACTTCTGTCCTTTATGCAGTCTTCCTCTATCCTTTCTAGAGGGTACAATAGTGTTAGTCTAAGGAAAAGTTGTTTGATTAATGAATGACTGCATTTATTGATTATGAAGGGCACTTATGAAGCTTTTTAAGTAAAGATGATTCCAAAGTCAAATTATGGTTTTGAAAATAATTATATTAATCTTAATAACAAATGTGACTACTGATGTTTGCGGAGAACACATTACGCAAATGTCTCCCTTCTTGTTATGAATGAGCTTATTTCATTTACCTAATATTGTGCTCTTTTCTCTTTAGGACAACAGGATTTTGGCTGAACAGGGCCCAGTCACTCCTGTACTGCAATGAGCATGGAGTCCTGGGCATGTTTTCAGAGGAGGTGCAAAGCTGCACCTGCACTGCAGAGCACAGTAGTGCCTGCCAGGGGACAGTACCCTGTGTGGTCGGAGAGGGGACATCCTGCCTCTCATGTGCCCCAGACAACATCACACGCTGTGGCTCCTGCCACCTTGCCAACATCCTGCACCTGGGCTCTTGTCGGCCCAACATAGCAAACTCTCTGGACCACTACCTGAACATTGACTTTGACATGCCGGATGCAGAGTTCAAGTACCTGCTCCAGCGGCTGGACAGTCGCATGGAAGTCCACGCCATCTACATTAGCAATGACGTGCGTCTGGGCAGCTGGTTCAACCCGGCCTGGAGGAAACGCATGCTCCTCACTCTAAAGAGCAACAAAAACAAATCCAATCTCATTCATATGCTAATGGGAATCTCATTCCAGATCTGCTCTACTAAAAACAGTACACTGGAGCCTGTGCCTGCCATCTATGTCAACCCATTTGGGGGTAGCCACTCGGAGAGTTGGTTCATGCCTATCAACCAGCAGGACTTCCCAGACTGGGAAAGAACTAAAGTGGATGCCTCTCTGCAGTGCTACAACTGGACATTGATGCTGGGCACCAAGTGGAAGTCCTTCTTCGAGACGGTGCACATTTACCTGCGCAGCCGCATCCTGACCGATGACCCCACCGTCAACGAGACCCTTTTCTACGAACCCCTGGACCTGGACGACAACACATCCAACCTGGGCTACATGAAGATCAACAGTCTCAAGGTGTTCGGCTACAGCATGCACTTTGACCCCGAGGGCATCAAAGACCTGATTCTGCAGCTGGACTACCCGTACACGCAAGGCACCCAGGACGCAGCCTTTCATATGCTGCTGGAGATGAGAGACCGCATCAACCGGCTCTCCCCGCCTGGATTGCAGCCATTGGACCTCTTTTCATGTCTGCTCCGCCACAGGCTCAAGCTCTCCACTAGTGAGGTGGTGCGCATCCGAGACTCCCTCCAGATTTTCAACTCCAAGCTGCCCAATTCCTCGGAGGCAGAGCTGGGCCAGTTGTGCAGCTAGCTCAGTCTAAATTAGAGTCCAGAGAGTGCTGTGCTGCGCTGCTGGTTACTCTTCAGTCAGTTGCCAATTTATCCATCTGGTTTGGAAAACATGTACATATATTTCTCTGAGATGTCTAGAGCATTCCTATACACTGGCTGACAGAGCTTGGAGTGTGTTGGCTCTGTTGGATGTGGAGTGATGTCATGACAACAGATTTTGCTTTGCACAGATAGAGTTTTTAATATAAATAGCGAGTAACTCTGAGTTTAGAAAAGGATTGCTCTGGTTTGTTCATCTGTTGGCAGGAAGTTGAGGAAACAGAAGAGGATTTCCCTTTTCTAACCCTTTTCTCTTTGGTTGCAGAACGATTTCATTTAAAAGCGGAAATCTGATGGGCTGAATGAGTTGATTATGCTTAAAGGGATAGTTCACCCAAATTACAAAATGACACATTGTTTTCCTTACCCTGTAAGCAGTCTGTGGACAAGGTATGATGCATGAAAAATGCTAATATCGGTCCCATGACTTGAATGGGATTTGTGCCACAAATGCTAAAACGTTAGCATGTGGAAACTGTGCCAGGGAAACTAAACCAAAGCATGGATTGCTGTCATACCTTGTCCATAGATTACTTACAAGATAAGCAAACCAATGTGTCATTTTGTAATTTGGGTGAACTATCCCTTTAACGGTCTCTTATGATAATCATCCCCCAAAATGTTATCCTTGCCTTTCCATTTTATCTGGCATTCAAAATCCTGTAAAATATGTATTTGTGCTTAACATTTGGTTGGGAAGAGTAAATATTTCTGTTCAGCAACATTGCTATACCAAAAGAAGCTGAACGTGGTGGCAAAATGAATGGTAAAAATGTCTTAAATGTTGAAATATCTTTTTGAGCGGACTTCAAAATGATTTTTTTTGACATGGTAACAAAAGGTCTGTGGATACAGCTGTGTAAATATTGCTCCATCTAAATCTAGATGTGGAAAGTGCACATTGCTTTTTAGATAACCAAGTGCAAAGACCCAAAAAATATTTGTAACAAAATAAAATCATGCCTTATGATGGAGAATCAATGTTCAGATAAAAAGCACATTCAGCTGAGTGTTTCATTTCCAGGCTAGATCTTTTGAATATATTTTGCAAACATAACACCACATTTTTGGAATAGGCCAACTATATTTGCATTTTAATGAGTACACTGTATTGTGGATCTTACCTGTAAATGTCAGTCGCAATTCCAGTTCAAAGGTATTGAGGAATACTTTTTTACACTCGTTTTGTAGCTCAAACCTTTATTCATTTTATTCACGATAGGCCTACATGTTGGAACTCAAATGAATATGAGCTGGAGGACATTCATTTCTGATGGTATAATATTACATCTGGATATGTTTGAAGTTTTTTACACTGATTGTGATGGTTCAACAATTGACCATACTGCTATGGTATCTCCATTTCATATGTTAAAGTACTATTTGATCTTTCATTATCTACAAACCTACACCTTGAGTGAAAAATTACTGTCATAAATCTACTACTGGAATAGCTATGTTTCTAGGATTTATCAATTGTACCATTTGACAAGAGTGAACAAAGAAGACATATTTAAATGTCCCTCTTCACTGTACAAATCCTCTGTGTTGCCATGACATGGATACATACATTTGCAAATACCCTTGGAACTTCCTGATAAGATTAATGTTCTCTAGTATATAAAGTGCAGCATTTGCAAGGAAAAAAACAATTTACAAGGTTGTCACAGAGCATGGGAACCAAACACACATTGTCAAATCACATCAAACTCACTGTGCCTCTGAACAACCTGGGAAAAACCTCAGACGGGAGTCACAAACACAGAGTTTATAAATAAAAGTTATTTATCTTGGTGTCATCAAGAAATCAGCACTCGCCCTTCAGCTAATCGCCAGGACAGTGGGGGAAACCCAATCAATCAAGGAGGGTCTATTATGCTGTGTAAAATGTTCATATATCATATAATAGAGACATTAAACATTCCACTCCACTGCACATCCAGTTGCATATCAGTCTGAAATCTAAGCAAATGAATGCATAAACTCTCCTTGACTTGATTGGCTAGCCTCTCGTTACATGATAAATAGTACACACTGAGTACAGCAGATTATTTCAAAGAGCATTTATTTGCCATTTAGTTTATTCCTGTTTGTTTTTTGCCTCTGACTGCCGCAGTCCGTAGGACAGTAACTGACAGTTAAGCATGGCTGCCAGCACACGGCACTTATCATACCACCCAGATGTTCTTCTTTCTAACTTTGTATTATTTTATGTCAATCAGTGTGTAGTGTGCATTTCTTCAATTTCTTCCAATTCTTCCAAATTGCACTTCTTTTTACATTTGCTGCACTTCATTGTTAGTGACGGTCGTCCTTGAGCTTTTTATGGTCACCATGCTCCACGATGAAAAGCCTGTTTCATGTGTGCTCTATCCAGTTTCCATTTGTGAGAGGACACCTGATATGTAAATATCCCTGTGGAAATAAAGGGCCTTCTGTAATGCCAACACTGTCACTTAGCAGTGGCCTGTTTGCCTGGTGTGCAAGTCTTTGGACTGGTGCCAACGTCAGGCCTCAGAAAGGCATGACCTCACTATTATGGTTTATTACTCTGGTTATTTGATATGTGGGGGACATCTTTCTTTCCACAGGGAGACCGAACTTAGCTTTTCAATGGGTAATGATATGAGAGAATGGCACCACTATAAGAAGTTGAATCATGACAGTTTGATTTGAATATCATCTTTAGCTGAATTTATTTAATTCAATTTTGTATGTTGTCCGTATTGCTATTATCAAAATCAAACTAAAATACCTTTCAGAAGACTTACACACAGGATAAAGGTAATAGTTACATGGTTAATTTGAACAAGTTGTAATTACTTACAATTATCAATTATATACTGTATCTCTGATATAACTTTAGTTATAACTTGTTCCTATATTTCTACCATGTTACTACTACCTACTCCTTTATATTGTGCTGTAAAGTACATTACTTATGGGGTTGATGCCAAAAGCTTTCCGAGAGCCATTTAAGAAATAAGCAACAAACTCTCTGTATGTCAAAACTAAATTAACAGCTTACTGTTTAAGACAGAATTAACCCAAGCAGTTTTTCTGTACAGTATGAAATGTAATTGTCTTTGGGAAAATGAACAAATATTTCCTAAATGCCTTCAACATTTATAGATTGAGATGGGGTTTTGGCCCTAAAAACTACAAATGTCCAGAACCAAAGTGCTGAATGTAAATATTCTTGGGTTGACTACATCCACTTTTATCAGACACTACTTCACACAGCTCAATCAAGAATATGAAATATCTAATCAGTATCTGGATGAAATAATTATATTTGACGATATGACAATGTTTTATGTATTTGTATCTGTACATATGACGTGCTACATACACAAACATACTGATATGTCTACTGGTTGGCTCTGTTAAGAACTGTTTACAGTGCCTTAAGAAAGTATTCATACCCCTTGACTTATTCCACATTTTGTTCTGTTACAGCCTGAATTAAAAATTGATTAAATATATTTTTTAATCTGACCCGTCTACACACAATACCCCATAATGACAAATTGAAAACATGTTTTTAGAAATGTTAATCAAATTGATTGAAAATGAAATATAGAAATATCTAATTTACATAAGTATTCATACCCCTGACTCAATATATGTTAGAATCACCTTCGGCAGCGATTACAGCTGTGAATCTTTCTGGGTAAGTCTCTAAGAGCTTTGCGCACCTGCATTGTATAATATTTGCACATTACTCTTTTAAAAATTATTCAAGCTCTGTCAAGTTGGTTGTTGATCATTGCTAGACAGCCATGTTCAAGTCTTGCCATAGACTTTCAAGCCAATTTAAGTAAAAATTATAACTACACCAGTCAGGAACATTCAATGTCATCTTGGTAAGCAACTCCAGTGTATATTTGGCCTTGTGTTTTAGGTTGTTGCCTGCTAAAAGGTGAATTTGTCTCCCAGTGTCTGTTGGAAAGCAGACTGAACCAGGTTTTCCTCTATGATTTTGCCTGTTCTCAGCTCTATTCCGTTAATTTCTATCCTTAAACACTCCCTAGTCCATGCCGATGACAAGCATACACGTAACATGATGCAGCCACCACCATGCTTGACAATATGAAGAGTGGTACTCAGTGATGTGTTGTGTAGGATTTTCCCCAAACATAACTCTTTGTATTCAGGACATAAAGTTTATTTCTTTGCCAGATTTTTTGCAGTTTACTTTAGTGCCTTATTGCAAACAGGATGCATATTATGTACAGGCTTCCTTCTTTTCATCTAGGTTAGTATTGTGGAGTAACTACAATGTTGTTGATCCATCCTCAGTTTTTTCCTATTACAGCCATTAAACTCTGTAACTATTTTAAAGTCACCATTGGCCTCATGGTGAAATCCCTGAGCGGTTTCCTTCCTCTCCAGCAACTGAGCTAGGAAGGACACCTGTATCTTTGTAGTAATTGGGTGTATTGATACACTATCCAAAGTGTAATTAATAACTTCACCATGCTCAAAGGGATATTTACCCATCTACCAATAGGTGCCCTTCTTTGCGAGGTATTGTGGTTGAATCTGTATTTGAAATTCACAGCTCGACTGAGGGACCTTACAGACAATTGTATATGTGGGGTACAGAGATGAGCTAGTCATTCAAAAACTGTGTTAAACACTATTATTATACACAGAGTGAGTCCATGCAACTTATTATGTGACTTGTTAAGCATACTTGTACTCCTGAACTTATTTAGGCTTGCCATAACAAAGGGGTTGAATAATTATTGACTCAAGACATTTCAGCTTTTCATATTAATTAATTTGTTTTAAAAAAATCTAAAAACCTAATTCCACTTTGACGTTATGTGATATTGTGTGTAGGCAAGTGACACAAAATCTAAATGTAAGCCATTTTAAATTCAGGCTGTAACAGAACAAAATGTGGAAAAAGTC